ATTCAGATGAAATACCTTGTAAGTCTTATTTGGTTATCTTGGTCTAAAAATGGGTCAAGTACTAAAAAATCATTTCAATTATCGATAATTATCGATCAACATTCCATAGAAAATTAATCGTTATTTTTGACCTGGATTAATTGGAAAAGATGGCTTTACTTTATTAGTTAAGAACTAAGTTTTTATACATTTATCTTATGAAATTCAAAAGTGATGGTTATTTGACAAAGTTATTCTTATTTTTTCCGGTAAGAGACAAAAAAATCAGATGATAAAAATGTTACGAAAAAACCTCGTTTTGAAACGAAAAATAGACAAGAACATCATCCATCTTACAAAAAAAGGAAAACACTCCAAATGTTACTTCTCCAAAGGTGAGCATGACATCAATTTTTGACTGTAGCTGATGTCATGGTTGTGGGTGGAACTAATCGGTTCGGTTTTTCTGTGCTATACAAATTAATTACCTGTTTAGATTAAAGACTGTCCAAGAAAAGAAGAACCTTATAGACAGAAATACTCAGCAACTATACCAACGTTTTCAACCGACGCAGTATAATATTTACAAGGAACCTAAGCGGTCTCTTTAAGAGATGGATTTACAATATTTATTTTTAGGTTATTAATAAATAACATTTTTATTATCCTATGTATTTTGAACATGTCTTCTTAAAAAAGTAAGCTGTTTCAATCCAAAATTTAAAACAAGTCATTATAACAGGGTTTATTAAATAAACCGTTGTAAAAGGTTTGCTTTCTTCTTTAAAGGGCATACAAAATAACAAAAATTTTAATGACATTATTTATCTGTGTAATAATAGTATCAATATTAATGGTTACTTCATTTCTACTGATTATAATGATGTCGACTTTAAAATAACATAATCCTGAAATTGCAATATTATGTATTGGCAATATTTCTCGTTTTATTTAGAAAATATGTTAAAAATCAATCAATGTTTACCATATTTATTTTAAGATTTATTACTCAATGTACCAATTTAGCATACGATAAAATAATATAAATTGTTGATTTTTAAAAGATTTTCTTTATAGTTTCATATGATTTCATATGATTGTATAAAAAATTACATAAAAGAATTTTAATTACTAAATTAACTTGCTTGTTGTCTAACAATTTTATTTAAAAAATTCGCAAGCAAATTTGCCTGTCCGACAATCTAAGGGATAGTTAAGTTATTAGACTTCTCTAGAGATATCTCTTAAATCGTAAGGACCGGTTAAGGACCGCTTAAAATCCCTAAAAATAATTAACGAAAG